CGGAGTAGACAGATCTCCAGCCGTTTCTTCAACCCATCCAGTATAGTCTCGTCCCACGAGAACTTTGACTTCAATGCTTGAAAGAAAGGGCGGCAGCGATCTGATGATCGGCTTATAAACCGATTAAGCGCGGCGGCCATCCTGGCCAGATGCTGCACGTCTTTAGCCGAGCTTGGCTGCTTCAATTCTTGTACGGCTCTGATCTGAGTAGGGTCTGCTTCGATGCCTCGGTTTGTGACTAAGAATCCCAAAAATTTCCCGGATCCCACGCCAAAGGCACACTTCGAGGCGTTCAAGCGCAGCTTGTGCTTCTTCAGAATGGCGAACATCTCGGCTAAGTCGGACAAATGGTGTGCCTCATGTCGGCTCTTTACCACCATATCATCGATGTAAGCCTCCATTGTCCGGCCGAGCAAAGGAGCGAACATTTTGGTCACCATCCTCTGAAAGGTTGCCCCGGCGTTTTTCAAACCAAAGGGCATAACTCGATAGCAGAAAAGTCCCCTTGGAGTCGTGAAAGAGGTGATCTCTTGGTCAGGCCCATGCATGGCAATCTGGTGATAGCCGCGGTACGCATCCAAGAAACTGAGCCGATTGTGTCCAGCCGTCAAATCCACTAGCTGGTCAATGCGCGGCAAAGGGAAGCTGTCTTTCGGACAAGCTCGGTTGACTGTCTTGTAGTCAACACAAACTCGCCACTTTCCATTCTTCTTAGGCACCACTACCGTGTTGGAAATCCACCGAGGGTAGTGCACTTCCTGTATTGCTCGTGCCTCAAGCAAGTTCTTTACCTCCTCTGCTACTACCTCGGCGTGATGCAGCGCCGACCTCCTTGCTCGCTGGATGACTGGCTTTGCGCCAGGGAAGACATTGAGGTGATGGCAGATAAAGCTTGGGTCAAGACCAGGCATGTCATAGGGCGACCATGCAAAGACTTCGATGTTCGCCATCAAAAACTCAATCATCTCGGTTCTCTCCATGGCCGAGAGACTTGAACCGAGCAAGAAGAACCTGTCCGGCTGATCGGCATCAATCCGCACCTCAACTAACTCTTCAACTGCCTTGTCTTCGTCTTCGGCCTCGGTGCCCACATCATCCAAGACACCCAGGTCCTCCGGTCCCTCAATCATTTGAACGAATCCTTTGGCAGCCCGGCTCCCATTGACGGCCACGAAGCACTGCTTGGATATGACCTGATCGCCCCAAATCTCCTCGATTACCCCCATAGCCGAGGGGAATCTCATGACTTGGTGAAAAGTTGATGCCACGGCTTGCATGGCGTGTAGCCATCCCCTTCCAAGGATAAGGTTGTACGTCGAAGGCACTTGTAGCACCCGAAACTCCACTTGCTTGACCACGGATCCAGCTTTGACCGGCAGGATAATCTTTCCCAAGGGCCATTCCGGTTGCGAGTTAAATCTGACCAGTGGCGAAGTAGCCGGAGCCAAGTCTGTCTCCCGGAGTTTGAGCTGCTTGAACGCATCATAGTACATGATCTCGACCGAGCTTCCCTGATCGATCAAGATCCGCTTAACATCAAAGTCCTTGACGCGTAGTGTTACTACTAGGGCACCGTTGTGCGGCGTCTGGATACACTCTAGATCCCTTGAGGTGAAACTAATCACAACTTTTTCTTCAGTTTTCCCCCTTTTGATGGCAGGCTGTACCGACAAAACTTCCCTCATATGCTCTGCTTTTTTTATCATGCTCCAGAGTTCGCAAACACGCTCCGGTTCCACGATGCCATGGATGACATTAATAACCCCTTGGGGTGGTGCGTCTCGGTCATTCTGTCCCCTGGGATCGACCGGAGCCTGATTTGGCTTCACGCCGCCATCAATGTAAAGGTCTAGATGCATGGCCGCAACCAGCTCTTCCAAGTGTTGCCGCAAAGGCAAACAATCCTCAGTCCGGTGGCCCCTCTCCCGGTGGAACGTGCAACGATACCGCGGATTATAGCCCTTTTGTCCATCGCCCAACTTAGCAGGAAACCGGACATACTCCTCGTCTCGGATTTCACTAAGTATGCGATAGATTGGAATCTTGAAGACCGTGGTTATGCCAGTCCTTGCCTTCATCTTTCTGTTTGCGTCCGCTACATCATCTCAGGGATAGTCATCCTGGTCATTCCGACGTCCTCTACGCCGGCTTTTACGGTTCGAGCCACGGTTCGATTCCTCTGCTCGGTCATTTGAGCGGCTGGACTCTTGCCCAACTGCGTGCACTTTGCCTGCTGTCTTCTTGTCTGTTGCTACCGGAGTGGCCTTCACGGTAGAAGATGACGCGTCATCCTCTACTCGGATGTGTTCATTGATGCGCTGCATGAGTTGGCCCATGGAGGTCGGCTGGCGCATGGTAAGCGAGTCCTGCAGTCTATGTCCGACCGGGAGACCGCGCTTGTATTGCGTGATTGCAAGGTTGACCGGGCAGTCCAAGATCTCGTTGAAGGTTTCCCAGTACCTTGAGTTGTATACCTTCAGTGTGTCGCTCGGTTCCATCTTGACACTTAGCAAATGATCGACTTCCTTCGGTGTCTTTGTGTTGGTTTTGAAGCGTGTAACAAACGCCTCGGCCAACTGATGCCACCTTTGTATGCTCCCTTCCGGCAATCTCTCGAACCATTTTAAGCCCAGCTCGCCTAAACTTGACGGGAAGATGAGGCACATAAGTCCGTCATTGCGCCTATGTCCGGCCATAACCTGTCGGAAGTGGCTAACATGCATGTATGGATCGGTGTTTCCGTCATAAAGTGTGAACTTAGGCTGGTGGAAGCCTGTCGGAAGCGGTGTTGTTTCTATTTCCAGGGAGAAAAGGGTGGCGCTCAGCCTAGCCAAGTCCGTATCTTCAAAGAGTGGCACTGCTTGGCGGGGTGGAGGCATTCCGACCTCCTCGCTGTCGTGAACCCCGTAGGATAGCCGCTGGAAGGCAGGTATTCTCTGAGCTTCGCGACGACGAGCCCGCTTCTTTAAGACCGCCCGTAAATCTTCTGACTGAGCAGAGTAAGAATACCTCGACGTCGTCTCCAGACGTGAGGGTTTGTAGGTGCTGTCTTGCGCGCTAGACTTCCCGGCACCCACGTCGGAATCACCAACCTGGTAGCTTCTGGTAATGGATATTGACTGAGTACGTCGCTGACTCTGACCGCCTGAACGGCGGGATGGGGTGCGCTCACTGTGGTCTCCCACTCCAACTACATCATTCCCTTTGACATGCCGCTTGAGATCCTCCATCTCCGCCGCCATTCGCCGGATGACAGCATCTTGATCTCTCAACTTACTTTCCAGTCGCCTGGCGTGTGAGTCTCTCCTCCGCCGGTGACCGTCTGGACTCCGTGAATGTCCGTGACTTCTTCCGCGCTTGTCCCACGCGTCTCCTGACTGCCCTCCGGTGCGTCCCCAAGTCCGCCATTGGATGGATGGCGATCTATGGCAGACAACGGAAATTCTTCGTTGTTCGCCATGGACGGCGATCAGATGAACCTGGAAGACAAGGTTTTGTCTGTCAAAGTTCTCACAGACGGCGCCAATTGTACGGGGAGCAAATATTCTAGCAAGCCCGTACTCCTTTCTTCCAAGCTCCGTTTATGTCCGATCACCTGCGCGCAAAGAATGGTGAGCTACCCGGCGGTGTGTGGCCGGAAAAACCCTCCGACGATCAAGTTAGCACACACCTTGGGATAAAGAGAGAGAGAGGGAGGTGTTTTTGTGTAAGAAAATCCTTACAAAGTGTTCATCCGTCGCGTATGGGGGGCGCAGACCTGCTTATATATCCTCTGTGCCCCATATCTACTCCCAGTCATCCCCTGACACGTGGCTCCGCTATCCCATCTGTCAGCATAAACTTTGCTGAACATCACTTAATCTCAACTGCTCGCCTTCACAGCTGGAGCTCGGCAGCCGAGCTACTCTGTCCATTACCGTGCCGTGCTTCATGTCCAAGCACTTCACTGGCTAAGCCCAAGGAGGACCGGGCTAGGCGACATCTCGGCAAAGCCTAGCCCGAGGCACCTCCTGTGGCCGGCCTTCCTGCCGGTCAAACAGTTACCTCGGCTGTCCACGCCTTTCCGGGCGCCGGTCACTCAGCTTGTCTTGCTTCGGCCATCACCCGATCGAGCAGCTCGGTCCAACCGAGCAGCTTCTTTACGGCCTGGGGCGACACACACTCGGCCCAAGTTCTGCCCGGCCCAAGTTCTGGCAGCTCATTTCTTGGCGGATAGTCAATCGTCTCGGCCCCATGCACCGTTGAGCTCTCAACCTGCTCGGCCGTTACCTCGGCCCAACTCCAGATCATAAATCACCCTCTCAGATTTTATTAACAATCTAATTATTATGAGTTAACAATTTATTTGATGATATACATATTTTTTATATTTATAATTATAATTAATTAAATAATTTAAAATATTTTTAATTATTTAAAGAAGTGATGAGAATTTAATTTCTCTGATTCCGTACCAAATGGCAAAGACTAAATAAAACAAAATAAATTACGTCCTCATCGACCTCATTCTGAGTCGTCTCATAAAAAATAAATCAACCATGTCCAACTCTCTGCTTTCGTTTTCTTTTTGACCCAAAATAGTGCACATATATTACTCTCGAAAGAGGTTGACAATTCTAATTCGCTATCTTTAATAATATAAAATGGGTTTCATATTTAATAATGTAAAATATTTATTTCTCACTTCTCCTTCTCTTCCTTTTTTATTTTTTCTATTTCACTTTATCAGAATTTAAAATAAAAATAAAATATTTAAAAATGTAACACCATTGTATTTCTCTCTTTATTAAAAAAGAAAGTAATGTGTACGAAACGAAACCAACCCCACGTATTAGACCACCAGTCAATAGTTGAAACTCCCTTCAATAATGCACACACACATATACATATATAAACATTAATGTACATTATGTGATGGTAGTATAAATTAACTTCTTTTCCACTTCTATCTTCATTATTTTCTCTGTAAGATTTTGTAGGATGCCGCAGGTTGACTCGTTTCAGCTTGCGCTGGGCGGCGGTGATCGGAAGATCGCCTGCGAAACGTTTACGACGACGGAAAACAACAGCCGGAGGCGGAGGAGATAGATCTGCCCGAAGTTCAGCCTGATTTGCCGCCGGAATCGTTTTGGCTGTCGAAGGATGCGGAGTTCGATTGGTTCGATCGCAACGCGTTCTACGAACGGAAGGACTCGACGAAGGGGAACTCGAATCCGACAAACTTGAATCCGCATTCGAACTCTTCGTCCCAGAGGTTTTCGATGAACTTGAAGTCCAAAGCGTCGATTATTGGATTACCGAAGACGCAGAAGACGAGTTACATTGATACTACGAAGTTGAGGAAGTACAAGCCTTCGAACATTCGGCTTTTTCCGAAGCGGTCCGAGTCGGTTGGGAAATCAGGAGTTCCGGTGACAGAACCGTCGTCGCCGAAGGTCTCGTGTATGGGGAGGGTCAGATCGAAGCGCGGCCGCCGGAAGTCGTCTGGAACTCCGTCCGCGGCGGAGGAGAAGGCTAGAAACGTTGAACAACGGAGGAGGACCGGGATCTACGGCCGGTTTATGGGGATTTTCAGGGCTCGCCGGAGGACAAAACCGGCATTTGAAACCACGCCACCGCCACCGGTGGAATCACCTCCGCGGAGGAGCATGACGGCTAAAGGTCGTGATTTTCCGGCTAGCGGTGAGCCGCCCGGTTTGGGAGGGATGACACGGTTGGCTTCGGGTCGGAGATCGGCGTCGTCGTTGTGTGCGGATGACATCATTTGATCAGAGACTTTGATAATGACGTGGCGAAATATCACTTGTCCAGGATCGAAGATGGGCTCATAGAAGAATTGTATCGCAGCGGTCGTTATGGTGTGTGTGGCGCGTTTTTATTTGACAATTGGTTGTTGAAAATTTGGGGGTTTGTTGACATGACGTGGCACGTTCAATAACGGCTTCATCGTCTTGTTAAAACGTAAAAGCAACCGTTTATATATTGAGAAATGTTAGAGTTCATGAAAATTTTGTCATGAAAATGGTCATGAAAATTTTATGATTCTTAGATTACCTTGATTAGTGTGTGGTGCTTTATTGTAAGTGTAATCTAAAGATCATAAATTTTTCATGACTATTTTCATGAAAGACTTTTCATGATTCCTAGCATTGCTGTTATATATATATATATATATATATTTTGGGGGGTTTCGTTTTGTTTTTAATTTCATGCTTTATTTACTAGAGTAATGTTAGGTATCATGAATTTTTTTTTATAAAACTGTTCATGAAAGATTCATGACCTTTAAATTACACTTAAAATAAAGTACCACACACTAAAAAAGGTAATTCAAGGATCATAATTTTTTCATAATTATTTTTATGAAATTTTTTTCATGATTCCTAGTTTTTCTCTATTTACTAAGACACTTTAATGGATAAGTTATTGTAAATACAATAGCGTTTATGGAGCGAGTGTATGTAAATTTTTGAAATTTTTACTCGGTAATAATTAAAGATTTTGGTTGTGTTTAGTAGAGTTTTAAAATTATATTTTGAGTTTATAAATTTTGAAATTATGATTTAAGTGTGGAATATTTGTTTGGTTATGAATTTTGAAAAAAAGTTTAAATTAAGTGATGTGACATATGATATTTGATTAAAAAATTTACAATTCATAACCAAACACACAACTTAAAATTCTATTCAAAACTCATAAAAATTTTAAAAAAATTTCCAAAATATTTTTTATTTAAAATATAAAAATAATAGATGCTAAAAAAAAAAATATTATTCTCGGTCAACCGGGGGAACGTCTGGGTGAATGACCGGATAGACGAGTTTTTAAACATAGGTGTAGAAATGATTCTTGAAATGCGGAACCAATGTAGCATTCAAATCAGTGGGTGAAATTATGATTTGAGAGCCCAAAAATGCTTCGAAGCACTAGAGTAAGAGCTCTAGACCAAGCACTAATGTCGTGGCGCCCATTGCGCCCACCGTTGCTAACTCACCCCTCATTCTCTTCCTCGTCTCTGTCTCTCTATTCGTTCATTCCTTCTCTTCTCCATCTCTCTCTCTATTCGACGACGATCGACTCTCTCTCTTTCGATGTAGCGACCCTAATTTTCTTAAATCATTATTTATTATTATGATTATTATTATCTTATATTATTTTTGGCTTTATTAATTATGGGGATCCATGAGAATTTACTGTATTGTTTAGTTAATTTAATGTGATATTTAATCAGTTTAATGTGATATTTAATTATATATAATTAATCAGAATCTTTATATTTATATATTCATTTATATATAAAAAAAAGAGGTGTTATATATATATATAATCTTATATTTATATTTATATATATTATAATAATTTATTAAGTTATTATATATTGAGATTTAGGTTTATAATATTGATGTTACAGTTACGATACAACGGGTTTCAGAGGGAATGGGTCGGACTGGTCCACGCTTCTCCAACCGGTATCTGAATGGCCAAGCCCACCTGAGAACCTGCACAGGAGTTCAACGGGGAACGGGGAGTCCCCCAGTGAACCCTCCGACGAGTAAGTTAGAAAGAGAAGTAGAGTGTAGAGAGAGATTGGAGATAGAAAGCTTAACCATCTTCTTGTCTTCAACGTCTGCTTATATCCTTTGGTAATCATTTCGCCGTCCCTTTCGACCTGCCACTTTGGCCGAAAGTCTATGCTGTAGCTTACCTTGTTCAGGGTGAGGGGGTGCTGTTCCGACGGAAATGTGTTGCGGTAATAAATGCTGTGATGGGCTGCATTAATGGTGATGTGCATTGGCAATAACTTTGCAGATCTTTGTCTGTTGATGTGGCTTGTCCTTTACCTGCCACATGTCTGAATATCATTGGTTCTTCGTGCCATGTTGGCTTCCAGCTGTTCAGGATCTCATTAGTTGGGTTATGTATTGGGCTCTAAGTGATGGGCTTGGGTTGTTCATAGTGGGCTATGACCTTTGTGGGCCTAACCACGTCAGTAGTCCCCCATTCCCAAGTGCAGCTTTAGCCCAACGAAGGGAATACTAATGGAGAAGATGAGGAGGACCGACGCGAAGGGTGGTCGAGTGGGAGGACCGACCATGAGGAGGACCGACCGTGAAGGGTGGCCGAGTGGGAGGGCCGACCATGAGGAGGATCGACCGCAAAGGGTGGCCAAGTGGACGGGCTGACCATGAGGTGGACCGACCGCGAAGGGTGGCTGAGTGGGAGGGCCGACCATGAGGAGGACCGACCGTGAAGGTTGAGGTGGGGGGGGCGCGGGGCTCAAGAGGTGGTGTGTCACGTGATGACTTGAAGTGGAAAAGACAGGGTAAGGGGAGGTGGCAGTGAATCGTGATCGTACACGTGGTAGCATCTCGTGGGGAAGGAGATTAGGCGTTGGGAAAAAAATGAAACGATAGGTCATGATGGGTGTTGAAAAGACAGTTTTGGCGGATGTTTTGAAAAGTTTTCAAACTGGCGAAAAGTAATTGTGATCCTTGGAATACGGGCAAGCCATGGGCTTTTGGTATTATTCGATTTACCTACTTCTTTGCAAAAAATCAAAACATTCCAAGTGTTAACTCCTTTGTTGTTGACGATACACCTCTGCAACATTTCTTGAATTTTCTTACACCTACTTCCGAAGCTATTCGTAGGCACACCACAGAGATGGCTCAAGAAGAAGCTGGAACCGCCAGGGTTGATCCGTTTGGGGATGACGACGCAGTGGAGCTGGCGGAGCAGTACCGGACGGAGAGACAAGTGGAGAGGGTAGGGGAGTTGGTGGTACAATCCCATTCTTCCACCATGATAGCAGCTTCGAAGCCAATCAGCTAGGCCAAACCAGATCACTGGCATACGAAGGTTGACAAATCAACGGTTACTGCGGTGGACTTGGAGGTTATGCACAAAAAATACCAGGTTCCTGCTAAAATAGAGTTACTGTTGCCGTCGTCAACAGAGAGGCCATCCAACGCCCGGCCGGGAGAGTTTGCCCTGTACGAGGAAGCATTGAAAGGAGGACTGAGGCTGCCTCTTTCGCAAGTTGTGGTTGATGTCCTAAACCGGTTGGAGGTAGCGCCGGGGCAACTAATGCCCAATGCGTGGAAGATTGTGTTAGCCCGTGCAAGCGCATGGCCGAAGGCGACTGAAGGGGCGACTATGACGGTGGACGAATTTTTCACATGTTGTAAGGCCTCAGGACAGCAAGAGACTTGGGTGACATTGCAGGCGGCGGCAGGGAGGGGTCTGTGACGGGGCTGCCGTCATCCATTAAGGGTTAGAGGCGCGGTGGTTTTATGTGTCCGTGAATGGAGGGGTTGGGGTGCGTACGGTGTGGAGAGCGCCCACCAAATCTGTGGAGCCAAAACTGGGAGCGGCAGCAGAGGAGAGGATAAAAAAGGTGAAGGCATGGAGGGAGAAGGACAGAGTCAGGTGGGACGAACTCATTCAACCTTCAGCCTTGTTTGCAGCAGGATTGGGCCCTCAGCTGAGTGTTGGAGATCTGGGACGGGCTGAACTAGAGGCAAGGAGGAAATCGTAAGAGGCTGAGGATATGGCCATCCTTGCCAAAGCCAGTAAGTTCAAAGAGTCCCAGGCAGACCGATCGCCAAAACCGATCACGAGGGAGAGGATCCGACCTTGCCCCAAACCTTTGGGGGAAAAAAAACTTAGGTGGATTTGAGCCACGACCGCCCCCAGTTGATCCTTTGAAGAAGAGGGCCTACAAGGAGATGGAGGTGGAGGGTGTGGTAAAGAAGAAGAGGAGAGTGAAGAGGAGTGAAGAAGAGCCTACCTTAAAGAGGAGGAAGGAGATGACAGCAGAGGAGACCCCCATGGCCAAGGAGGCAGGGAAGGAGGGGGTGGGGGAGATCCCAGGAAGGCTGGTTACCCCAGAAGTGGTGAAGGTTGCCTCAGAGGTCATGGAAGTCATCCTAGTAGTGGTGGAGATCGCCCAAGAAATTCAAGTAGAAGGTAAGGCAACTGGCCCTGAGCTGAGGAGAGAGGAACAGCCCCAGGGGGGTCTTGTGTCCCAAGGAGGAGGGGGGCCAGGCTAACGACTGCGATCTACCATGCCCGTGCAGTGTTTGGGCGACTGGAGGGAGAAGAAGGCCCAGTCAGGGCAACTGCAGATCGCCTTGTTGGGATCGTGGACAAGGCGGCTGTGCGCTTGGTAACCAGGTTCAATGAGGCTGAGCTGCTAAGGGGGTTGTGCTCTGCCCAAATGGAGGTAACCACCTTAGCTGGGGCTCTGCTAAGAAAGGCGGCGGCTGCAAAGGTCAAGTCGGATGAGGCCAAGGCTCAACTTACAAACTTTAAAAGGGAGAGTGCAGAGTGGAAGAAGGCTGCGTGAAACGTGTGCTCCAGAGGTTGGCAGGAAGCTGAAAAAGCTAAAAAGATGCAAGTGTTGGCCATTGTTCACTGCAATATTGCCGACCGAGCCCAGGCTGAGCTAATCGCGGTCAAGTTGGAGCTAGAAGACGAACGTCGCCAGGTTGTGTCGCTTGAGTTCCAACTAGTTGGTGAGCAGAAGAAGCTGGGGGATGCTCAAAGGGCTTGGGTGGTCGCCATTGAGCGGCATGAAGAGGCTATGACCAGCAATGAAGAACTGCGCGCCCAGCAAATCAAAGAAAATGATGAAGCAGACGTGAAGATTGCTGGGCTGTAGAAGGAGCTGGAAGACGAGTGTGGTAAGATAATGGAGGAGAGGGCGAGCCTACGAAGGAGTTGGAGGAAGAGAGGGCCGAGACGGCCTCTGAAAAGGCGAGCCTGTGAAGGAGTTGGAGGAAGAGAGGGCCAAGACGGCCTCTGAAAAGGCGAGCCTGCAGAAGGAGTTGGAGGAAGAGAGGACCAAGGCAGCCTCTGAAAGGGCAGCATACCCCGATCTGTATATCGCAGCAATAGAACAATTCAAGGGGTCTGTTAAATTTTAGATGGCGATCGATGCCGCGGTTGCCAGCAGCGTGGCGAGGGAGGTGTCTG